AAAAAAAAAAAAAAAAAAGATCAGTTTTCTTACTCACTAATAATAAATAATTCTTATAAATAAGTAAAATAAAATAGAATTTTCACCCAAATTGGTCAAATTAAACTTAAATGATAACATTTAGGGCTGAAAAAAGTTGGAGAAATTAGACTTATTTTTGGTAAAGCATTTTGAAAAATAATAGAGCAAAAATACATCAGGAAGGCTTAATACTGTCCATTTACCTGTTGACTTAGAATCTATTTCTCAGAATTTATCCAAAGGAAACATTCATGAAAAAATTAAGTTCCAAATATGTTTATGATTGTCTTATTAATAATAGTTTCCAAGCTTGAGTTGACCTACATATCTGATGGGACCTGTGGTAAACAAATTATAGTAGATTACTGTCTTGGAATATTGATACCATTGAAACTGTTTTGCTGAACTTTAATGATATTGAGAAAATTAATATATTAATTGACAAATACAATAGATAGCAGTGTGTTTGATGATCCCACTTTTGGATGATACAAACATATCTGTATCCATACATAAAGAAGGAATCTTGGAAAGTCATATCTACAATATTAATACTAATAATGGTTACATCAGTGTGTGAGGGAAACAAAAGGACCAAAACAAAGGACCACTTTCCTCTAAAAGTTTTCTTGAAAAGTAATGGGAAGGATTAAAGGATGAATGTGTTCAAATATCGCAGGGTAGAAATGTAAATTAATGAAGAGAAAAAAGCATCCACAGTTAAAAACAAAAAGGAATGGAATCCGACTATTAGGCAATAAGGTACTTAGAAAGAATGGAGGTACCAGAACATGCAATAAAATCGGCCAAGGATAAAATACAGGATAGGAGCTTATACAATATGATCTAGGAGCCTGTATGGAAAGCCACTAGCCTATGCATTTTGGCATGACTGCCAACATTTTGCAATCCCAGGAGTCAATCTGAAACAATTTTAAAAGACCCACAATAATATATTACTAAGTGGCTACAGGTAAAATAACAAAAGAATAGATTTTTAAAGACTCACTTGAGAAGTATTTACAGACTTTTTTCTTCCTGTGCAAAAAGATGAACTTTAATCCATACATTGCATCCTAATAACATGTACTCTATTGAAAGTGAAACATATTCTCATATGAATAGAAGAATGATCTTTACAAACTGGGTTAAGAAAGATTGCTTAAATATGATACTGAAACAAAATCCAAAGTATACTTGTTTAAACAATTCAATGTATTGTTATTAATGTGAATTAAACTTTTATAAAATAGTCATAAAAGTATAAAACTACTGTATATTATAAAGTATGAAAAGACCCTGACCTTAGACTAATTAAACTAATATCTGTCATTGCTGTCCAGGCATGAGTACTTCTTAAAAGTTCCCCAGATACTTTCTTAGGATGTTAGGGTTGAGAAGTACTACTCTGTGTAAACACAATACCAAAGTAAGGCGGGTAAGTTACAGTAAGAACCTAGCAGCAGCATTTGTACAGATGACAGAGACAATAATCAGGGCAGGGTCACTGGAGTACTGGATTTATACTCATCTGCTTCTGATTCCTCAGCCTCCCTAGTTTGGGTTGGGCTTGGAAACCCTAGAGGTAGAAGGTAGCCTGCTACTCTGTGGAAGAAGCCACAGGAGCCTAGCAAGTCTTCAAAAGGGTTAAGCTTTGTCAATATTTTCCTCCACTGCCTGGGTTTTTATCTTCTCCAGTCACCTAAATAAATTGGATAAATCATGTTTAGTACTTTGTTTTCTGATTGCTCTTATCTCCCAAGAAGGGACATAGCCTTTTTTATGGAATATTATTTCTAATGACTGTAAAGCAGAAATGAGTAGGAGGATGGAAAGGAGAGTCACTAAAACTGCAAAGCTCAAAAAATGTTTTATAATGATGTCCCAAAAAAACTCACTTACCTAGACATGAGCATCCAGTTTACATTTATTGAGTTAGGTATATCACATCATTGAAATCTCCAAACTACTTTCAGAATGTTTAAAAAGTTTAAGTGATTTGTGCAAGGTCACATGGGGGCAGAGAAGGCAGAATTTGAACAAAATTGTCTTAAATCTAAGTCCAGAATCTTGGAAATTGATAGTTTCTTGTCTTTCATCTATCATAGAATAGTGTTCCTTTGGATGGTCCACAGGAGACTACAATCCACTGCTCTCAGAACCGGGAGATAACACTATTCTCTGAGACTAAAAAACATGAAATGAATGAATATGTCGCTTTGGGGAAGATGTCTCCCAAATAAAAGCTGTAAGTCATTCAAGGGGACTATGTAGCATAGCTCCCAAGGGGCAGGTCTGTAGGTCTGAATAATGTATGACAGAGCTGACCAGAGTTCTCCTTCCTGGCTAATGGAGCTCCGGAGGAGTAACCAGTGGTTCTATCAGAGGAGCCCCATAGATTTGATTCCAGCCCTAATAAACAATATTCCTAGCTTTCTAAAGAAATTCTTACACAAATAAAATTCTGGGCTTAGCTCATATCTCTGTATCCTGGTCTTGTCAGTTGTTACAAATATGTGAAATTACCTATCAGTTTACACTACTTGTATGAGTTCGTTAGTATGGAGTAGTTCTAATGATTACTTCCTGCTATCTGGACAAGAATCTGTGGTTCTGCAAAGCTATGATCATGGAAACCCTGCATTGTATACAGACATCAAAGCACTTGCATTCTGTCAGACCCTGGACTACACCAATGCCTTCCCTCCATTCAATTGAGGCTTTTACAGTAAAGCAATGGTATGAACCAGTGAACCAAGAACTGTCCCTAAACTTAATGGTTTCAAGTTTCAGAGGGTGGCTCTAATGTTAGATTGGGCCCACACTTTCTTTACACAGGACAGTTATGCTTTGTAAAGTCTGGTTATTTAAAAAGAAAAATGGTATTAAGATCTCTGTTGGAATTTGGAAGTTTGTGAGTTTGTGTGTTTTGCTGAGTTTCCGGGAATGAAACTTATCTGTGTGATTGTATTTTCCTATTTGTTCCTCTATACCTATAACTTAGTCCAAAGTGTTTCTTGCCAACATCACCCCATTTCTTTTTCTAAGCTGTATGAATTCTCATTTCACAACCTGTTCTTTGCCATTTAATTTCTGGTATCATTTTAAACTTGTGCCAGCTTTTAAAAAGCTTCAATCTAAATGATTTAATTCATTTTAAACATAATTTTCATCTGCTGTATAGTTGCCTATGTAATACTGTGTGGCTTATGCTATAGTTGGAATGTTTTTAGCCCCTCCAGAAACTCATGAGTTAATCCCTAGTATAACAGTGTTGGGAGGTGGGGCCTTTTGGGAGGTACGTAGGAATGATTAATGTCACCATAAATGGGGCTTATAGAGAGGGTTAACACTCTCTTGGCTTTCTACCTTCCACTACTGAGGACATAGTAGGAAGGCTCAGATTGGATGGTGGCATCATAATCTTGGACTTCTAGGCTTCCCGAACTGAGATAAATTTTTGTTATTAAATTACCCAGTGTGGTATTTCATTATGGCAGCACAGAGGACTAAGGCAATCTGTTTTCATCTTTGCTTATACTTAGTTTATTTGACATTAAGTGGATTCTTTTTCTCCATGTTCAACCCCCGTACAGGGATTTCTGTGAATCCCATCAAAGGAAGGGACATCTGTGGAGGTAGGATGGGCCAGTATCCATTTTCAGTTTCATTAATCCAGTGCTCTCTGCTGTTACTAATGAAGCGATGAAATATAGCCTGTGTAGCCTTCTCTGCTTACCAGAGTTAAGTGTGGTAGGAAAAATTCTCTACCTCTAGCTATATGTTTCCTAAAGGTATTTTCAGTGATCTTATTCCAACTAGGTCTCCTGCCAACGCCAGTCTAATAAAAATGACATGGACTGCTGGAAGAGGGTACCCACCTCAGAGTCTGAGCATCCTTACATACCAATTGGATATGCCAAGAATTCAAAGACTTGATTCATCTTTATCCAATCTATGTCCAATGCTATGTTTACACCGAGTCATCTTGAAGTATGTTAACAGCTCCTGCTGGACAAAGAAGCAGGACTGTTTCTGCTTATCAAAAAGCAGAGAATATCCCAAGTTCAAGGTTCCTCTCCAACACAATCCACTGTATGTAGGTTCTCATTGACCCTGTGGTACTCAGAAAAACAACAAATTAACAAAAACCAACATAAAGCTCTGGAATACCTTTTGCTATTGAGTAATAAAAGGCATTTAATGCTTCTCACCTACATGTATTATGCATCTTATGTAGAATCCCATGAAACAGCAACAGGCTAATTTGTTAGTTTACAAGTAAGGTATATTCTTAGACCCTGCACAGTTACTGACACACATCAATTTTCTTCTTCTTGGTAAGCAGCTAGCATTTTTGGCTCTACGACTATATTATTAATAAATTTACTATTAGCATGATCTATTACAAAAGATTATTTTCCAAAGACATAGACAATAACATTACAAAAATAAAAACCCCTCTAATTTCTGTGAATTTATCTGTGCATGTCCAAGTCCAGTAATAATTTCACTGTCTGTTTGCAGCACTAAGAGTACTAAATCCAAGGCTCGGCGCCATGCCTCAATCTTTGGTGTAACAACATCATAAACTCTTGGAAACTGCTCCAGTTTATTCAAAATGCTTGAATTAAAAATTCCACTATTTAGTTTACTATATTCTTTCAAGATATAAGATGAAGGAGAACCAGAGCCTATAGCACTGTGTAGATGATGCTGAATGAACGTGCTGGCTTCAAATTCTGATGAGTAACTGGCAGTATTATACAGGAGAGCTGAGAGGTATTTGTGCCATCCACTTGCTAGGTACTTAAGCACAGTTGGTCTGTATATTTCCAGAGATGAAGCCAGCCAAGAGGAAGTATGATGAAGCCATCCCAAACAGGTGTGGTCTCCTTTTTGCAGAGGCTGCTCAGCAAGAATATGAAGATGGCTAAGACACAAAAATTCAACTGCACTGCCTCCAAGGAAGACCTTTTCTTCTTTTAGAGCGTGATACACACGGTATGCACAAGTCCAGAACCTATCTTCTTTGGTTTGCATCTGCGCACTGACTGGGCTAGTGAGCACTGCTGTAATCAAATTAATTCCTTCTGTTTTTAACAACACTGCGATTCTATTGTTCCTATCTATAACCTCCAAGGGGTTTCTCCAGAAGGCCACAGAGATCCCATTGCCCACACAGTCTTCATTCACTTGTGTGATATAGGCCACTTGCACTGCTCCTGTGGCCTCTGCAAAAGCCTGTATCACATGGCCATCCACTGACCCAATAACCAGCCGCTTACTGTGCACACATTTTTCAGTCAAGTGTTCAGATACATTTCCTTTTATCAGGATGAGATTCACATTGAACTGGATTAACAGTTGCATTATGTGATTTGCCCACAGTTCTTCTGAGCTATCTTCTTGAAGCTTCACACTACCTAGCACCGTTTTAATAGTTGTAGATTTATTAAATCCCAGGTGGCGATAACTCTCTGTAAGGTCACCCTCAATGAGAACTACCCGGATGGGCCGATTCTCCAATTCCTTGATCAGACCAGCGCAAGCTATTGACACCTGAACGATATATCCTGGACAAACACAAGAAAAGGTTTCAGGTAAGCCTGGCAGAGAGCAAGTGATGAGTCTTGAAATGTCAAACACAAATGGCACTGTACAGTTGCCGTGCTGCATACAAGCATTCTGATACTGCAGCTGGACTGCTTCTTCTACCAATTTCATGCTGCTGTGATCTCCATGACTCAAGCCCACTGCCAACTCAGCCAGATCACTACATCTGTAAGTTTGGAAAGTAGTGGCACCATGGAGTTCCTGAAATCTGTCTGGCTTGTGTATCCCTTGATTATTATCTGTCCTGTTAAAATGCCTACTATGGACGAGTACAGATTTTCTGAAGCAGGTGTCTGTATGTAGACTACTTTTCAGAGTTTGTGATGTGTTTTCACCTGCTTCAATTTTAGCATCAGGTTTGAAGAACTCAGATGATTTGACAGGTCTCCCAGAAAGACTGTAAAAGGTGAATCGAGGTGCAACATCTTTGAGATCGTGCTTTTCCTGTACTGAACTAGCACCTGAAGAGTCTTGCAGAAAAGGACCCAAACTGACACTAACTGTCTTGAGTTCAGAAATTGCCTTTGTGCTGCCCATGTGATCAAATATATTGTGGACAGGTACCTGAAGGGAAACTACCTCTTCACTACAAGAGTTCAAGCCTTCTGACATTACTGACACTATTATCGCGATGGGGACACCCAGGTGGAGACATTCTTCAACAGCACTGCTCCATGCACCAGCAAGAAACAAAAGAGTAGTGGTTCCAGTCCTGTAGGTGTCATTCTGTGCTTGAACTGCTTCATTGAGAAGTTGCCCCACAGCACTGGTCGTATCTAAACTTTCAAGAAGCCTTACTGTTGAACTGACTAATACATTTCCATGACACTCTTCATCAGTAATAAATTTTGATGATTTTACTGGACCTAGGAATGTTCTTCCTGTTTCTGCAAGTAAAGAAAGTTGCTGAAGTCCCATGTGCCTTCTTTTGTTTATGACCCTGCAAGCCATAACCATGAGTCATCACCTGCAAATAAAATAAAAACTTGGAAATTTATTCAGTGTGATTGATGGCTGTACATGCTATATACAAAGAAAAGTAAGATATGGCTCCTATCTTTAAGTATAGTTTCCATTAAATATGGTCTCTTGTGGGCAGATTTAGCTCAGTGGCACTGCACCTGCCTTGCAAGTGCAAGGTCCTGAGTTCGATCCCTGGTACCACCAAAAAAAAAAAAAAAAACATGTGCTCACTTGCAAGGATGTAGTATAATCTTAATGATTTGGGTACAGGACAGGTACTGATTCCAAGAGAAGGTAGCCCCTGGAATAAGTCTTGAAGGACTTGAAAGAATTAGCATGATGAAGGTGAAAAAAACACAGTGTACTAGGGGTAATACGTGCAGGAGGGAATCGTGTGAGATGATGCAGTTTGATATCATACAAATCTAAAGAATACAGTGAGGAACAGTAGGGGATACTTCACAAGAGGAAAGGAGCTGTATTATGAAGGGCATTGTTTATTATGTCAAGAAGTTTACATTCTGTCATGGAGACCACTGAATTGTTTTAAGAAGATTAAGAAACCCCCTGAAACGGGGCTTGAAAATTTGTGCTTCTGAGTCTAGAAGTCTGGGTTTGACCTTAGTTCTACTGCTTCCTACATGGGTACCCATCAGCAACTTATCTGGCTACTCTAACCTTAAATTTCCACATATTAAAATGGGGAAGATAGTAGATTCATAGAGTTATTATGAAGAATGTAATGCTTAGAACAGTGCTTGGCACATACTGTTTATAAGGGCTTGTTTTAATAATAACAATAAAAATACTACAAGTTTAGAAGACTAACTGGCTGAGTGGCAGGCTGGAGGTAGAGGTCAGTTAAAAATCTCCTACACTTACCTAGATAAGAAATATGGAAGCAGATGGTGGGACAAAGATGAATTTGATTGCTGATTATATTACAAAGAGAAGGAGAGTGCTATTTTTTTGTTTTGTTTTGTTTTTTGAGACAGGGTCTCACTATATAGTTGAGATTGATCTGGAACTCACTATGCAGCCCAGGGTGGTCTCCAACTCCCAGCGATTCTCCTGCCTCAGCCTCCCGAGTGCTGGGATTACAGGTGTGTGCCACCATGCCCAGTGGACAATGCTATTTAAAGGGAGGCTCAAGAGCAGCTGGATTAATCTATATACTATACGAAACAAAATTGAATAGGAAATAAGAGAAAGACTATGTAACTCAGTAAAAAGAAGCTTTAAACATGGTGTTCTCTAATTGAAATGCCATTCATAGTAAAGTAGTCTGCCTTGTGAGGTATGAGTTCCCTGTTACACAAAGTACTGAAGCAAAGTTAGAGATAATGCAATGGTCTGTTCGCCTCTAATACTTCGTGATTCTTTGAATCATATGTTTAACCACAATTTTAAAAAATCTCAAATATTAAAAAGCAAACAAGAAAGATTTTTGCTTTTCCCCTACTACCAGCCATAACACCGATAATTTCTGTAATACCTAAATTCATCCTTGAAACAGAATAGCATCATAGCTCGATACATTTCAAGATCAACAGCGGGCACTATTTCTCAAGGGTAGGATCCTGTAGGCTTTCTGGGACCAGGGAGGAAATCTAGGACAGCCTAGGAAACTATGTATTAGATTTGACTGAGCTTCAAGTTCTCCTTTGTGAAAATTTCCGTTCTATGTTCCTAGATAGCATCACGTGCTGCATCACAATATACTCTAGGACCCAACTTCGACAGTCCTGAGACCCATCACGTCTTGTAACTTTCTGATCTTGCCACATTTTACTATCCTTCACCTTTTCTATACCATCAACTCCCTACTCACCTGGTTTTAGTTTCACTGGTCAATTATTACAAAAATTTCCTTGCACAAATATCCATTTGTAGTCTTTTGCCCCTTTAATGTTTTGTTTTTGTTTTGTTTTGTTTTTTGAGACAAGGTCTCTATGTAGTTAAGGCTGGGCTTGAACTCACTATGTAGCCCAGGCTTGCCTAGAATCATGGTGATGCTCCTGTCTCAGCCTCCCAAGTGCTGGGATTACAGGCATGTGCCACCATACCTGGCACCCCTCTTTTATTTCATTATAGTCACCCTGCAAAGCTACTAGTCTGGGTGAACTCCAACTGTCTACCCCATGCTTCCACTGGGGCAGTTGAGACATGTGCGCAAGTGTATACACACACACACACACACACACACACACACACACACAAACACACACACACAACCATGTTCAGTGGTGTCATTTTTGGATCATGACCCCAAACCTCAAACGGTCTTTAAAGTGCCTAGCAGTCTATTTACCTAAGCCATTTACCTTTTCCTTGGTTATTGTTTTCTGTGTATTTAGGAAAGTTTTGTCTACTTTTATGTAAAAAAAAATTCTGTTTCCTTTAAAAGTCATGGTTTTAGTCTTTTAAAAAATTGGGCAAAATTCATTTAACATAAACTTAACCATTTTAAACTACAATTCAGGGGCATTTAGCACATTCAATATTATACTACTACCTCTTCTTCTAAAACATGTCATCATGTTCCCTCACTCCCACACCAAAAACCCTTCAGCTATTGAACAGTCACTCTCTGTTCCCTTCTTTCCCAGTCCCTGGCAATCACCGATTTGCTTTCAGTCTCCATCAGTTAACTATACTTGGTATTTTGGAATCATGTGACCTCTTGTCTTTTATTTGGCACAATGTTTTTTGAGGTTCATCTGCACTATAGTATGTATCAGTACCCCATTCCTTTTCTGTGGTTGCATAATACTGCACCATGTGTATCACACTTTATATATCCACTCATCCAATGATAACCATTTGGGTTGTTTTGCCTTTTGAACATAAGGAATTGTGTGGCTTAGCATTTGTGTGTGCATGTTTAAGTACCTTTTGGATTTAAAGTTCAATTCTTTTGGATATAAAGCTCCCAGAAATGAAAAGTGTTGGGTCATATGGTAATTCTATGTTTAACTTTTTAAGGAACTGCCAAACTTTTCCATAGCAATTGAACATTCCCACCAGCAATGTACCAGGGTGGTAATTTCTCCACACCCTTGCTGTATTAGTTTCTTAGGGCTGGTACACCAAATTACTACAAAGTATTAGAAGGCTTAAAACAATACATATTTATGCTCTCATGGGTCTGGAGTCTAGAACCGAAAAAATTAAGATTTTGGCAGGGAAGAGCTCCCTCTTAGGACTTGCCTTGGCTTTGGACTGTGTGACTCTAATCCTTGCCTCTGTTTCAAATGGTTGTTTTATAATCATGACACTAGTTGTTGGATTTAGGGCCCACCCGAATCCAATGTGATCTCATCACTAATTACTTCTACAAAGACACTATTTTCAAATAAGATCATATTCTGAGATCCTGGGAGGACATGAATTCTATATGTCTGTGTGGTGGCACTATTCAGTCAAAAGTACTTTATTTACTATTGTTTATGTAAAATTATAGACATCCTAATGGATGTGAAGTGATAGCTCTGTGGTTTTGACATGTATTTTCCTAGTGACTAATGACTAGTACTTGAGAATCTTTCCATGTGTTTGCTACTCATTTGTACATCTTCTTTCGAGAAATGTTTATTCAAGTAAATTGTCCATTTAAAAACTGGATTGTTAGTTTTGCTATTGTCAAGTTGTAAGAGTTCTTTTTATAATATTCTGCATGTTAGACCCTTATCAAAGAACAGTCAGCCCTTGTGTATCAGTGATTTCCACATTTTTAGGAGATCCATCCAATTAACTACGGATGGAAAATATTTGGGAAAAAAACTTGCGTCTGTACTGAACATGTATGGACTTCTTTTATATTATTACTATTCCTTAAATAACGCAGCATAACAACTATTTACAGTATTAGTTATGTGATTTTAGAGATGAGTTAAGTTTATGCGTGGCTGTGTGTAGGATACACTCAAATACTACACCATTTTATATAAGGAGCGTATGACCCAGTGGATTTTGATATATATGGGGGCTCTTGGAACCAATTCCCCCATAAACTGAGGGGGAATTAATACATTGTGTCATTCTGCAGAATAAAACGTCTACTTTTTTGATCCTACACTTTGATGAGCAAAAATTTTTAATTTTGCTGGTCTTACTTATCTATGTTGTTATTGTTCATGCTCTTGGTGTCATATCTTAGAAACCACTGCTAAATTCAAGGTCATGCATATTTAACTCAATGTTTTATTCAAAGAGTTTTATAAATTCATCTCTTATATTTGGTTTGTTGATGGATTTTGGGTCATTTTTGTATATAGTGTATGGCAGAGCTCTAACTTCATTCTTTTGCATGTTGATATACAATTTTCTGGGCATCATTTCTTGAAGGGAGTATCTTTTTCCTCAACTTTTTTGGATTCTCATTTCAGTTCCATTGGTCTATGTATTCATTTTTTGTGGGTATCATATTGTTTTGATAACTGCAGAATGTAGTAAGATTTTAAGTCACGAAAAATGAGTAAAACTTTGCTCTTCTTACATGTATGTCTATAATTTCTTAAACTAGTTGTTGTAAATGGCAGAAGGCAAAAAGTACCCCCCTCTCTTGTATTCATGGACATCCAGCTGCTCCAAGAATTATTTGTTGAAAGAACAAGTTTCAAATGACAAAACTGACTTTTTTTTTTTTTTTATTTCTAACATATGAACTCACTATATATAAGGCCCTTTACATGTATTACAGAATATAGCCTTCAAAATAATGAGATGAGGTAGGTGCTATAATTAGCCTATTTTAGTGATGTAGAAAATGAAGCACAATATTTAAGTAACATATACAGACTCTCATAGCTAGTAAATAAAAGGGCATGGACTAAAATCCAGAATCATCAGATTCTAAAGTCTATGTTATTAAGTACCATATAGTAGTACCTCCTGGTTGCCTTCACTACCCAGTATGACAGTATTTTACTCTTCCTTAGAATTTTCCACTTCATTTCCTTCTTTCAAACGCTCTGCTCTAAGACTTGTTCATAGTTTGCTTATGGTCTACTGTCTATGTTATGCTTAGCACAAGATATTTCTATATGAATGGGAACGAATTTAGAGCAAAAGGGAAAAAGTCATGGGCTATTTCAGATTTAGTCTGTATTGAATTTACAAGATTTCACAAAGAAGGCATGAAATTGTTTAAACAAAATTCATTTACAAAAGTCATAAAGTTGATTCCAAATAAATATTCAAAAGAGATCTGTTTCAGTACTTGAAGAGGCTATTCCAAGTCTGGGTAGTAATTTAAAAATAAAGCCTTAGAATTCTAAACTTTGGAAGAGCTCTTAAATTATTATTTTGAAGAGGTTGCAATGAGCTACAATGAACATAAAATAAAAACTGAAAACAATTCCTCATCTTGTAAAAGGTTGAGTATAAAAAGGCAAAAACAATAAAGGGAATGGTAAAATGGATAATTTCAAAGATGATAAGTGCCTTTGGCAACTATTCTTGGTACTGCACTGACACATTCTCATTCTTGTCCTGCTATGCTTCAACGCCAAAGTTTCCACAAACAGTTCTGTTTTTACTACTTGCTAGCTTAATAGTGCTTTAACTTTTAAAGTATGTAATGGAAGAGCAGAGTCAGACTATTTAATTGGGATTTTAACATGAGAGGAAGTTTTCTTTTCATATGATCATGTCTAGTCTTGGTTAAGGTACTTGGCTTAGAGCACCAACACATGCTTTTCAGGAGTGGCATAAAAAAAATCAGTTTTCCGAGGATGATTTACCCAATCATCATCACACTCAACAGTCTGCTCATCTTCAGTGTATTCCCAATACAGTAGTGTATCATCTCACTATTTAAAAACAACTCAGAATACAGTCTTCGTCTGACACAGGAGTCCCTTTCAAAAATAAACCCAGATCCTTTCACTAAAATGCCCAAAATCTTGCAAAACGTCCCCAATGCACTCCAAGTGAAAAACCATAGTCTTTACAATGCCCTCATGTGTTCCTCTCCCTGACACACCTCCTCCTTTTCCTACTTTTTGCTTTCCCATCCTTTCTGTACCTGGGACATGCAAGGCATGCTCCCTATACTAGTGTTTCTGTTTTAGTGGTTCCTGCTACCTGGAATGCTCTTTTGCAAAAAATGTACTGCATCACCTCCTCCAAATATTTTCTCAAATCTCCCTTTCAACGAAGCCTACCTTGAGCATCCTATTCATATCACAAACTGTTCTTTACCCTCTATTCTCTGTATACCCTTTATCTGCTCTTTTCTTCTGCAATGCTTATCACCTTATAAAATAACATACAGGTCATGTATTATTTATGGACTATCACTCTGTTGGTATGCTATTTTCAGTTGACAATCTTAGTCACTGAGGTACCCAAGTAACTAGAATACTGCCCAATATGCTAGAGGAGGCACTCAATAAATATTTGTTAAGTGAATGAATCAATGTTTTTCACCACATTTGTAATCCTAAATTTAAGTTCAAAACAGAAAGAAGAGAAGACGGATGCTACTGGTAGTATTCCTCCAGCATGAATCCAAGTTTCAACTACCTCTGGAGTCGATGTGAGTCCTATTCGGTACTGCCTTAGTTGAAGCTCTGTAATTGCTTCTACAGAGGGTTCCTCCTTCATGTGGTTGTCAGAATTATCTCTGAAAAAGCAAAATAAATGTAATAAGACATAGCCAAAAACATTCATTTGTCTTAGAAAGCAAAGTCTTTGCTTATTTTAATCTAGGTGTTATATAACCTAAAACCTTATTTATCAGACTCCTCTACCTTTTCATAAGAATTCCATGAAACTTACCACAGAATGCACCACTTATTTTCACTTTGTACATGCTACCTCTATATTGAAAAGCCTATCTTTTCTTCACCTCCTTCAGCTCTACATCTGTAACAAAATAAGGCAAATGTCACAAATTTGATATAGCTTCCTCCAAGGCTTCAGGAACTAGTCTTTCCTTTCCATGCTCCCAAAGCAGTAGCAACCTTATGTTTGTGTCTGTTTCCCCCAGTAATCTGTGAATTCCTATGTTTTACTAATCTTTTATACTCTAAGTCTACACCATCTCCTTTCAGATTCATCTAGCAGTAGTTGGCATAGTGTAAAGTAGAAAACATCTAATTAATTTGGTAGATTTAAGAATGACAATGTGCTTAATATTTATACAACTATATTGGTAACTGCTATTTTTCAAGGCTGAGTACATCTTTAAAAAAACTGGAATCTGAGCCTATCATTAAAATACTTCGAGAACATTATAAATATGAGTTGAAATCATAGTGATATAAAAACAGGCTAACTGTTCAGCCTCCTAATTGCCACTAGAAACTGGAATTAAGTTGGGTATACACTTAGTACTCAGCATTCATTTCCAGGTCTTAGAAATGCCTTTCAAATTAATGTTAAAGATGAAGTTCACTGATCAACAGCAACTTTCCAGGTGAGCCAAATAGGCTAAAAAACCACTATACTTATATGACTTAGCATTTTACTTAACTCATAAAATATCCTGAATTTCTATAATTTTAACTTTTACTGAAAAATCACTTCTAATCTTAAGACAGCGTTACCTACTTCCCAGAAGCCTAAGGAGATTAAACGATTACAATGTTTGGGTATCTGCCTGAGATATAACGTGAACAAGACTGGCTAAGAGCTTTGGGAAATATGTCATGATTCATTTACTAATGTATTAAGAGTGAGGATACACTCCTACGTGAAATGAATAAGTCACACATGTATAAATACCAAATAGTTTCTCTGGTGTGAATAAACTGTAACAGTACATAAAATCCTAATGAGATAACTGACATTGTGACATGGGAAGCAAGGGGCTAAAGGTGTAGGGAAGGTGGGACGGGTAGGGGAAGGGTAATAAGGGAAAAGAAAAAAATGTGAGAAAATGAAAAGATGGAAATAAAGTGGTTGTAAATAAATGGGGGGGGGAGGAGGGGGGAAGGGAGGGCAGGGACAAGGGGAAAAAATGAGAACCAAGACCTATCATGTAAAGCTACAAGATTCCAATAATGAATGTAACTGTACTGTATCCCTAAAATGTACCAATAAACTCAATTATTTAATAAAAAATTTTTAAAAAAGCGTGATTTGGAAGACTGCTTCAAGAATGTACCTTGCACATTGTTTCTGCCCTACCTTCAAAGAGATAAGGAAAATAAAGGAAAGAAAGTCCTAGGCAAAAGTTAATATTGTTCTTAACACTGTTGGAAAATCCAGTATGATACTTAGAAATTGAAGCATTTATTCTAGAGTAGGATTGCAGGAGGCATGAAAGGGGTCCTAATATACAAGCAGAGTAGAAGTTTTAAAACACTATCACCTCTTCATTCCTACCTCTACAATACCACATCACGTGTAAAAGTCCCCTCCTATTCAGTGAAGCTTCTCCTGTATTCCAAGACCCTCCCGCCCTCAAGCCCTCTTCCTTTCCACCCTTCCCACCATCCGGCTGCCCTATCCCCCGCCTACACTGAAATTGAGGTGCCTATTATGCCAGAATCCCTGCCGTCCAAGCAGGAGAAAAATGTCTAAAAGCCGGGGCACAGCGGGAGCTGAGGAATGTCTAACCGCGCGGAGAGAACAGTCCTCGGCAGTGCTTCCGGCCGGATGCTGGACCAACTCATCCCTGGCCACCAGACTATTCTCATCCTTTCCGGGAACGCAAGAGGTCACACAAGCAAACAGTCTCCCAGTGTCTTCACTAGAGTTAGCAGTCTGAGGAAGCAACTCGCTACTAACCTCACGCCTTTCTCCTCTGCCAGGGTGGGGCTTGAGTCTCGGGGTTCCCACCGCTGGGGCGGTTCTGGCTGGAACCGGGACACAACCCGCCGGAGAAACCGCGTCCGCTTCCTTGTCAGCAGTTTGCGCAAGCGCCAAGGGGGCGGTCTAGTGGTTTAAAAAATACAGCCCGAGAGAAAATTTCCGCTTAGCAGTGGGCAGAGAAAAGTGGGAGCACCACACTATTGGTAGGGAGTAGGAGGAGGGGGGGCCTCAAGTGCCTTCTTTCTTAACTATTGGATAGAATGACCGTCAATCCATAGGGCTTGGCGGGCGGGGATTGTGACGTAGGAGAGTTGCCTTAGCAACGGTTTCCTAGCAGTGAATGCCGCGGTTGCTCTAGGCTGCGGGCGGGTGACGCTGGGAGTCCCCAGCTGAGGGCGCTAGTTGGGGGCAAGGTGAATGCGATACTATGACGTCCTTAGAGGGGATTTGGGCAAGGAAGGAAATTTTTTTTCGCTTATGAAATGTAGCATTTCCCTCTGTTTTATAATCCTCAAGTGTCATGTCACCAAATAGGAGTGCATTTTCTGGAACTCTGGGAATAGATGAGCAGGTCTCCAATTCCCCCCCTCCCCCGCCCGAAGTCAACCACGTCAACAACTGCAATTTTTTTCCCCACGTCAACAATTGTAAATGCCAACAGTGTACAGTAGGTTACGTGTTATAAACAGAAACCGCTCTTTAGCTAGCAAGGAATTGAGTTCACAGAATAAGATTTTAAAAGCTGTTGGAGGACTCGGGGGAGCAGTCTGCAGATTGACTGGCACGGAACTACTGACTCTTCCTGTGTTGGTGAGGTGAGGATTTGGTGAGCTAAGAAGACCACGGCACTATTATTGGCATCCCAGGAACCCTGAAACCACAGCTACCATAGCCAACTCAACAACGCTGGTGGCTTTGATTTCCAGCAACATGGAATCCAGTTGCTGCCTGCTCTGCCACTGCTCCTTAAGCCAAAGCTGGAGACAAGACACCAAAATAAAGCTGCAAAAGCACCCGAGGAGGAGTAACTGTGACCTAGCTTGCTGACAGAAAGTAGCAAACAGCAAGATGACCCCCACCTTCTACGTATTAGGTGGATACTGATAGTTGACCCTACATTCTTACAAAATCTTTGAAGTTGTTTTTTTACCTGAAAAACGTGGCTTTTCACTTTCCCATCCTCTGTAATATAATGTGTTAGAATAAAGTGGAAAAGGAAACTGTATTCAAGCATCACCCAAATAAACACATTTTATTGAAAAATGCATAGGTATTTGAGAAAGCACACTTTTCAGATTACCAAGTAAGGCTAATTGTATTCTAACATAACATCAGGCACATTGTCTTTTGTTTCTTCTCTCTCTCAAAAGGCACTAGTTTTGTTTGTTTTTGTTTTTTGAGACAAGATCTTACTATGTATTTCAGGCTGGTCTTGAACTTACTATTAGCCCAGGCTGGTCTCAAGTTCACAGTGATCTCCTGCCTCAGCCTCCTGAGTGCTGAGATTATAGCCATGTGCCATCGTGACTGGATTTCAAAAAGCTCTAGTTTTAAGGAAAGATCTAAATGGAAACAAACAAACAACTAGCAACAACAAAAACGTTTTCTGCCAAAATGTCAATAATTAAAATTACAAATGTTAGCAAGGAGGAAACCATTGGGGTCATTATATAGTACAAATAATATATGCTTTAAATATGTTCATTTATGAACTTTAGTTCATCATCAGTTATTCTAGTTATATAGTTTATCTTTCACCCACATATGTATTTGTTACAGACATCTAACTGTCATACAAATTTAGAGCAATGGAAGAAAAAAGCAGCAAAAACTGAGTTGAGTGAAACTCAAAAGCAAGGAATCAAAGAGGCCTTTGACTCATTTGACATATAGAAGGGTCTGGAACCTTAGATGTGAAAGAATTGAAGGTTCTGAAATTATTTCTAATTCTAAAACATTTAAAAAGCTTTAACATTTATTTGTGAAAAATTTTAAACCTTTCTTTAATAGTTTTTTGAAAGGTTGATATAAAATCTGTGCAGACCAAACACTGCCCTGCATTAGCAAAACAATATCTTGTTAAACATTTTAACGGTTTTATATATGAGTGGGCCAAAACCCAGGGTGTAGCAAAGTGGGATCAGATCCTAGGCTTGCTGATCTAATTTCCTAGGTTTATGCTCAGTCCTTGTTGAGAGAGGGAGATAGAGAGAAAGGGAGGGAGAGAGGAGAGAGGGAGAGAGAGAGAGGAGAGAGACTATCATTAGCAATTCTGAACTTTATAATTCAGAATGAAATTAAAATTGTGGCAAATTAAAATTTATTTCTTTCCTATTCCAGATTGCAGTGCAAGCCTTAGGATTTGAACCAAAGAAAGAAGAAATGGGACAAATGAGAGCTACAATTGACCAAGAAGGAATTATTGGCATTATTAATTTTGAAAAAACTTTTCTCCATTAGGAGTGTAAAAATAGTAGTCATGGTTTTATTTTTCAAAGATACATAAGCAGTAGCCTTCTATATTTTGGGGCTGCAGCAACCAGAGGTTTCAGAGAATTGGAACTAGGACTTTAAAGATGGGTAGGATTTAGATAGGAATAACAAGATTAAAGAGGTTTCCAGGGTGGTAAAAAAAGACTACATGGAGTGGAGAAGAAGTTCCTGTCCGGCAATAATGATACTACAGAATATAGAAGGATAGAGAAAATGGGACCAAGGTTTTGAAGCCTTGCATTTGTCAAATACATATTGAGTGCCTATTTTTGCCCACGGCTGTCTTCAGGAGCCCTAAATTAGACAACTTCCTGTTCTTTTGTAGCTTATAGTTTTGGTTAAGGGTCTACTAGAGTGCACTTTCTGTATCATCCTGTGGTGCTTCCTGCTTCAACACATGCATTTAAGTACCTCGGTGGTAGTTGTGAGCACATTGGGAAAACTGTTAAAAGCCAGAGCAATAAAGCCATAATTTAGCTTTCTGGTATATTGCAGACAAGAAGTCAAAGATCTACTAAGTCCAACTTAATGAGTAAATAAAAGATTAACGATAGCTATTTTTCTAAAAGATGAAAAAGAAGAATATCAAAGGCTTTCAAATTATTTGATGATGATGATTCTGGAAGCATAATACTAAATAATATAAGAGGGTAGCCAAGGAACTAGGGGAAAATTTAACAAAATGAATTTCAGGTAAATTGTGCTTATTTTTATCATAATTTATGAGTAATTTTATATGATAATTTGCATACTGGACTGTATTCTAACTTTAGTTATAGTCTTTCATTGAAAATAAAATTTAGTTTGATTATGTATTTGAGTGATCACTTACTTTTAATAGTTTCTGTATATCATTTTACATTTTGTTTTATAGGAAACGCTCAATGAAGCTGATTGTGATGGAGCTGGAGAAATAAATGAGGAAGAAGAATTTTTGAGAATAATGAAGAAGATAATTCTCTATTAATACAGTTTTATGTGCCTTCTGGAACACTGCCAATACATTTATACTCGTTATACAGTCCAATAATATATTTATTTTCTGAATGTATTTATTTTCAATTTTTTGCTTATAGGCACAAATTGCTCTCTTGATGTCTAATCCACATGAGAAGTAATATTTTTTCTATTAATATCATTGAATCTGCAGCATTGACAAACAAAGAAAACAATGATTTCTTTAACCCATGAAACCATGAACAATATTAAAAACCCCCAGTTTCCAAACAATTAGGATATTTTTTAGGTTTAATGAAGTTGGTACCACATTCACAGTGAATTTGGCAAAAAAAAATCAATTGCTTTCCCTATTATTTTCTTTTTGTGCAACTCTTAAAAAGTTGATCAACAGTTATTTTTTAACCAAAATTTCAAATAAATATACTATTAAATAAAATTGGAACCTACATTATTTGCAAATGTTTGTTTTGTTTTTTGGGTACCGGGGATCAAACTCAGGATCTTGCGCTTGCAAGGCGGGGGGTGGGGTGTGGTGGGGGGGCACCACTGAGCTAAATCCCCCGCCCTGCCAATGTTATTGCAATGGTTTGAATCAATGCTCTCTAAAATTTAGGTGTTGCCAATGTGGTGGGAGTTAAGAGGCGGGGCCTTAGAGAAGTGATGAGGCTGTGTAGGCTGCTCCTTTAACAGGAGTAATCGAATTCGGGTCAGAACCACTGAGCTCAATACCCGGCCCTTGAGTGAAACTTTTTAAAAAGAGACTCCCCATAACTTCTGTAAGCTTGCCCTTCTGTCTTCTACCATGGGAGAACATGGCACATATGCGATCTTGCACTTCCCAGCCTCAGAACTGTGAGAAATAAATATCTATTATTTATAAATTACTGCTTTTGTTACATTTTATTATTGTAACGAGAATGGATTCCAGGGAACCGAGACTGGAGCTATTTTGTTAACTGCTTGCCATATTAGCTAAATCTTTGACTTCAGCTTTTACTACCAGCCAATTTAGAGATAAGAGCCACGTCTAACCCATCAATATTATTCACAACACTGGTACATATATAGTGGACAATCCAAAAATTTCCGATATCAATTAAGTGATTGAAATGATCTGCTTTAGTGCCTGTGGTTAAGTAAACAGTATTCTAATTTCAGCCACCTTTATGACAGAGTCTTAAATTGTACATGTATTATTGGATTTGATCTTTTACTGATAAGAAGAAAGGAAATACAGATAACTAGGTAAGACAATTAATTTGGGATGAAAGTTAGTGAATTCTGAGAACTTTGGTCAAAATGCTCCAAGCCTTATGTGACATGTAAGATAAAGTTTCATTAACTAGTCTTTTTTGCCTTTGACTATGAAACTATGTTATTACTTTTCTTTTTATTTCTATTTTTATATTTTTAAAAAATTTTTTGTGGTACTGGGGATTGAAACTAGAGCCTTGCAAAGGCTAGGGAAGTCCTGTACTACTGAGCCAAATTCTCAGCCAACTTGCCTTTTTTTAAACAAAATTTATAAATCTCAAAAATATCTTATATAATGAGACATTGTGAGATTAAGCACTCTATCAAATCTCACCTTACCAGTGTGATGGAGTTAATTTCTGCCAGGACCAGTACAGAGACCTGAATATATGCTCCAGGATATTCAGGTCTCTGTCCCTGGATTTCCCCCTACTAGCAGTATTCAGTACATCAGGCATTTTAGTTGGGTACATGACAGCTAATCCCTCAAACAGAGCACATTTAAACAGATCTAATATTCATAAAGCTCTTATTTCAGCACAGGATTAAATTCATGTCAAATAAAAAATGAACGTTAT